CTCTACCTACGATTTTGCCAAAGCGCATCCAATACATTGGAAAGAGCACATCGCTAGACTATATTCATGACTACGATTGTTAATGTTGACTTTATTGGCTTTAAAGGTAACTTGATAAAAGTATTTTATAAACACCAATTATCACGTTAATTAGTAAATAATAATTACACGTGTTGGTTCAATAAGAATGATCAATATAACAATTCGGTAATTAGTGCCTGGCCATTAATTTGCGCTGATGCGTAATCCTAATGAAGGCGTCTGGAGGTGCGGATTTAGGACAGGGTGTGCCACTTGACGATTTTACCTCATTGTTTATTTGACCATTTAAAGTTAATGCAAAAAGTTAATATTTATGTTTATTGTCAGCAGTATTAGCTCATTCTTATTTTTAACGTTCGGTTTATTCTGTACCGGGCGTTCCATTTTTATTGGAATCGGAAGGGATTATAACGTTTGCAATTTTTCAGAGATTAACGGAATCTAATGTGTAATGTTTTCATGGTTCTGTTTTTTGATGTTATTAAGGTTTTGCTACATTAAAGTTGTATTTTTTCTTCGATCTAACATTACAAGCGAGGAGCCGGTGACATTAAAAGTATCGTCATCACGGAATTGTAACTTTTTTAAGAAATTGATATTTGACAATTATACGAATAAAATGGCCTTGGTACGTGTTAATTTACTTGGCCAAAAGTATATTAAAAAACATTACTTATAATAAAAAAGAAAAATGTTTTACCATCTTCACAAGTTTTGAAGAATTGTCCTGTATTCGATAAGAAATTTGTTAATTTAAAAGAAAAAAAATTGGCTTACTAATTACTTACTAATTGCTATTGATAATGTTTTATGATGATATCGATTATGTTGATTAATGATCTATTGATTATTATGTTCTATATGTCGATTGCTGATATTCTATCTAAATGATTATGATAATATGCTATCTCGTTTGATTGATGTTCTATATGATTATGATAATATGCTCTCGATTTACTAAAATTCTTAATATATAAATTGTCATCCCTACTACGAAATGATCCAACCGAAACTGGTTCAAGCTGTATAGCTATTGTTAGGGTGGTGACCTTACCAACCCTGGAAATACCGAATGGTACTGATGTCGGGACAGACAATACATCGTATACGTTTCTTTGGTACCTGTACAACAATAGTGCAGGAATTGAGCATAATTTGGAAATGTTGCTGAAGGCAGATTTTTGAAATTACAAATAATAATGTTAAACTGAACAATTGATACAAATAACCCAAGAAACAAATGTGCAAATGAACAAATATACCTACAACTAAGCAAAGATTAATATACAAATAAGCAAATATACCTACATATATACAAAAAAGCAAATATACAAATAAACATATATACCTACAAATAGGGAAATATACAATTATGATTAAAATATAAAAATATGTTTCAAACGTGTAAACATTCGCGATGACGGTAAAATATATTTTCTTTTTTGTTATAAATATTTTTCTTTAATATACTTTCTGCTAAGTAAATAAACGCGTACCAAGGCCATTTCGTTGGTATAATTGCCAAATATCAATTTCTTAAAAATTTTACAATTCCGCGATGACGGTGATTTTAATGCAATCGGCTGCCGGACTATTATACACATGCTAAATCCATAATTTTGTATCATAAGAGATAGCTTCGCAAAATTGCATTACAAACCTACCTACCTACTAGTATATAGGCACAATAATTACATAACTTTCAGTCAAATAATTTAGTTTCAGGTAGTTTGTCAATAAAAATGTCAGAAAAAAGTTAAAAAAATCAACAAGAATCTAGATCAGTTTGTATCATTACTATTCAAGCTTTTTGCTATATCTATATCATTATTGAAGGTTTTTTTTAACAAAAACTTATTTAGACATTTTATACGTTGTATAGGTACAATACATACTAATTGCGACCCAATCGATTAACTACCTCTAATGTAGCCGTACATCTAATATATAAAAGCTCTCACAACAACCATAGATTTTCAGTTTATTCTAACTACACGTTACACGTTAGTATGGGTTTGTTTGTTACAATTTCACGCCTTAATTACTCAACCGATCAACATGAAATTTTGTACACACAATGTTAGGGATACAAGAAAGGATATAGGGTGCCTTTTATTCCGAAAGAACATACTGTTTTTAAGGAATAAAATAATGAGTTTTATGTGGTCGACCGCAACATCATACGTAAATTGTTCGAAGTTAAATTAAAATATGCATATTATATTCAATTTTTAGATGCTTTTATAAGAAAATCTACAAGCGGAAATCGTAGCAGCTACCTTTATAATGTGAACATTCCTTTGCATACAGAAAATTTCGTTCATTTTTATTATTTACCCACCATTGATTTTTTTATTCAGAAAATTATTAATGTTTGACGTTTTATGTTGATTTTCAACTATTAAACCAATATGATAATAAGTTTTTTAATCTTCTTAACGTAGCGCGATTATCATGAATATTTTGAGGAAAATCATGAAAATGTTAACTAGTAAACAACAAAATGAAAACCGCTTATTGACATATACGAAAACAAGAAAGCCCATCAAACATAAATTAATTCGTCCTTCAGGGCAAAACTTTAATTTTTTTATGTTTTGCTGTTTAGTATACTTCATTTATTTCTGTAGCGATGTGACCTTTAGTTTGACCGGCTCAAAGTAGAAAAGAGCAGCACCAGGCCAGAAAAGAAAGAAGACAACTCTCGGCCAAACTCTTAACCGGTGAGGAGCGTATAATCCGTACAGTACTGCACGGAAAAATTGACCATTTTATCCACTACAATTGCATTGCTCAAATGTGCTGTTATTGGTACCATTTACTTCTGACAATATCAACGAGATGTTTATTTATATTTGAAGACATACTAAAGGCTTAAACGCTTGTTTTCGACTCGCACTACTATTCATGATTGAACAAAACTTTTGGCAGGCACTGTATGAAAAAGTATGTTTAATGAATAAGAGTCGAGAGTATAATGAGCTTTTTTCTCTCTACCTACGATTTTGCCAAAGCGCATCCAATACATTGGAAAGAGCACATCGCTAGACTATATTCATGACTACGATTGTTAATGTTGACTTTATTGGCTTTAAAGGTAACTTGATAAAAGTATTTTATAAACAATCATATAAATACGTGGACTATCTAATAGGCACATATACATGTAATATTTGAAAACACGTACAGAAGTATAACAAATTTTGAATCAATTGCTTTTTTAATATTTATTTTTACAATTTTATAGTCAAACATTTTTAGAGATTACGATATTGCTACTAATGTTAGGCACAAATACAAAATTTTATCTTGTGATTAATTTTTCGCACAATTCACTTACATTTTTCAGTGATGAAGCAAATGTCTCTTCTTTATTACTTTCACATCTTCATATGCAGAGATGTGATTTATTTGAAATATTTGCATTTAAAATGCAAATACAAAATAAAAAATACCTACTTTTATCTTACATTTAAATACTTTTTTGAGAAAAGCATTTTGTATTTTATTTGAAGTACTTTTCTAATGTCTTCTAATTCATAACTGCAGAGAGCCCAAAAAATTGTAAACTCCTTGAAAATGGATAATCTAAAATATTGGATGGATATTGTTTTCCGAGTTCAATGTCATGGTCCATCGAATTATGCAGTTCCACATTGATATCAGCAACTGTCAAATCACCACTTATCCTACCTTTAGCAAGGAACTGCGAAATTCTCTGAATTACGACAAAACAGCCAGCAAAACAATACCGAATTGATATACGCCAGCTGTGTAAAACTGAAAACTACAAGATTTTGTGGTGTGCTAATAAACGCGTATAATCCAAAGTTCTTAGAAGACAAAAAGCTTCACTTATTAGATGAACCCAAAGCTAAAGAAACTATGAATTCCATTTCTTTCTCTTATTACAATGTGTAAAAGATCAGAAACAAAATGGTGTTGTACAAATTTTAACATAAACCGATTGATGGTGATTTTACATCAATAAAATTATTTGCAACCCTATTTTGGCTCTGATCATTCACGCTAAGCAAACTATTTTCGCATCGGTCGCTGTCGTATCACTGAGGAAGTCAGCCGCAGTAGCCGACGAAACGTCTGGACAGAATAGTTCACTTAGACCACGGCCCTTTAGCCCGAATCTTCATTCTTCTTTGGATTCCGGCCGTGAAAGCCTTTGTTCTTATATCGAAAAAGGTGTATTTTTTATCGTACGGCGCTGTACAGGTGCAAAATATAGACAGTGGGCGGGGCGAAAAAGAAAATGTTAGAAGCGTTCGAAATGTGGTGTTACAGACGAATGATGAGGATATTGTGGATAGAGAAGGTTAGAAATGAAGAGGTATTAGAAAGAATAGGAGAACGGAGGACTCTATGGAATTGAATAAGAAATAGGCGAGATAGGTTAGTAGGACACCTTATCAAGCACGAAAGTCTAGTCAGAGACATTTTAGAAGCAAAAACGGAAGTTAGAAGGGGTAGAGGTAGACCTAGATTAGATTACTGTTCGCAGATAGTTAAGGATATGGGTTGTTCTAGTTTTAGGGAAATGCGAAGATTAGCTCAGGATAGAAAGGGTGGAGGTACGTGTCCAACCAGTATTAGGACTGACGACCTTGTGATGATGATGAAGTACTAAAAAAAGCAAATATATACCTATGGGAACTTATTTTAATTGTTATTAAAGTATATGCAATTTTTTTTTGTTAGTTTCAAGTCTTGACGTTTCTTTCCGCTTTTTCGAAGTCCCTTTCCCCCAAAATCATTCCCGAAAACGAATAATTACAATATTACAAATAATTGTTTTTTGTAATGATAGTTAATACCTCCATGCGTTGAGAAAAAGTGTCTTGACAGACAGACGGACGGGCAAAAAAAAAGAGATAACATAAAGATTCCTTTTTTCTTTTTAAGGTATGGAATCCTAAAAACAATGCGAAAACTTTTATACTCACTTGCAATGGTAAGTTGTGCCGGCCCTGACAGTATTGCACCTTTGTTATTTCGCGCGAGGCATCGATATTCGCCTTCAACTCCGCCGCCCCCGCGACGAACTCCTTTCCTGATGTTATTAACGGCGCCGCCCGGAACGACCCTAGGAATGACCAAGGTCCCGTTAGGGAGGATGGTCCGGTTAAATAAGTCGTTTCCGGGCACGATGGTATTATTCCAATGGTACCAGGCGAATTGTAGACGGCCATCGCTTGCAGAGGTGGTTTCGCAGGACAGCGTAACCGAGGCTTCTCTTTTCGCGACCACACTTTGTGGGTCTTTTAGGTGAAGCGATAGGGGTATGACGGATACGCTGAACGGAACCACTTCTTCTGAAAAAAAACGAAAATGCGTTATTGTATTTCTGAAACCAACATTTGTATTTGAGTAACAATAACAACATAAAGATATTTATCGAAAAACTGTCAACTCAAATTTGATCTCATCAGCGCCCCGTAGGCAGACCCTATAAAAGATAATGTAATGTTCGTTGGTTTAACAAAATTAACTTCTAAGACTGATAACGACAAAAACTATAAATTATTAAAGAAGTTAAAAACACCATTAAATTATTACTAAACTTAGGTTATGAATTATTCTATTTATTACTAAACTTAGGTTATGAATTATTCTATTTATTTACACTACTGTTGATATATCACTATTCACTGCGCTATTTATTTCACCGCTATCACTGCCAATTTATTTCTGGATTCACTTTTGCAACGGTCAATTTATTTCTTCCCCTCTCGGCGATCGTCTCTTCCATTAAATACTCTTTTGTTTACTTTCAGGAACCTTCTAGAAACATCCGGATAGTTTATTTTTTCTTGGAACTGTTTAACTGCTTCCCGGAACACAGGTACGACACATACATTTACAAATACGGCGCACATGAAGAAAAGCGCCCGCGGCTAGTCAGCGAATCGCATACAAGCACACTCGTGCTCGCTACAATATTTATCGAAACTGCCAGAAGCGGAACTCAATTTTGACTTTATTTGATCTCATCAGCGCGACCTAGACAAACCCTACAAAAGATATTTATCGAAACTGCCAAATGCGGAACTCAATTTTTGACTTTATTTGATCTCATCAGCGCGACATGGGCAAACCCTATAAAAGATATTTATCGAAACTGCCAAATGCGGAACTCAATTTTAACCTTATTTGATCTCATCAGCGCGCCGTAGGTAGTCGTTATAAATAACTGACTAATCCCAAGAAGCGACTAAGAACCAATTGATGAAATATTCAAATACAGGAAGTGTATCGCTGTCTAGTTGGTATTTGTTTTTCAATTGAATCGACTGTACACTTTCAAACGTGCCAACATGATAGGATCTTAGGAAGATCATATTAATGAGAACGTGTAAATTCTTTATCAAAAATTCACAAGAACTACCAGAAACGAACCGCAAATTCGAATCAACGCACCATACAACTAAAAGAAATATCGCTGTTTGCGTTAACAGCTAGCTAAACTTTTAGGAGTAAAGTGAAATTCTAAAGACAAAATTAACAAATACGAAAAACTGGAAACTGTAAGTTGGAATGATTCATTCTATATAGGTCCAACAGGTACATCCATCAAAACTCAATTTAATGGCCATTTTTACCCTTTTAGTTTACAAAAAGAACCAATTTAAATTTTGCAAAGCATTTCTTAGAAACAAATCATCACTTTCAATTTACTTATAAATAAAGGAAAGGTTTTACAATAAACGTTTTTGAATACTTACAAATCTTTAAATTGAATGCGATTGAAACAGAAAATATATAATTATTCATGATAAATAAAAGTAAAACAAAACTACTGGTATGCAAGGGAAAGAGCGAATGTAATGATAGGAGACGAAAGATTAGAAGAAGTGACTGATTTTAAGTATCTAGGAAGTCAGATAAGTCAGGCCGGAAGGAGTAATAGGGATATAAAGCAGAGGATAGCGCAGAGTCGAGTTGCCTTCAATAAAGATAAGTCACTTTTATGCTCGCGAACGATTAATTTAGAAATTCGAAGAAGACTAATAATGGTTTTTTTTTGAGTTCGGCGCTGTACGGGTGTGAAACATGGACAGTGGGCGCTACGAAAAGAAAAAGGTTAGAAGCGTTCGAAATGTTGTGTTACAGACGAATCATGACACCGTGAATAGAGTAGGTTACAAATGAAGAGGTATTAAAAAGAGTAGGAGAACAGAGAACTCTATGGAAGTCAATAAGGAATAGGCGAGATAGGTTAGTAGGGCACCTTCTCAGGCATGAAGGTCTAGTCAGAGACTTATTAGAGACAGAAAAGGGAGTTAGGAGGGGCAGAGGTAGACCTAGATTAGATTACTGTTAGTAAATAGTTTCGGATGTTGGATGTTCTAGTTTTAGGGAAATGCGAAGATTAGCTCAGGATAGAAAGCAGTGGAGGTGCGTGTCCAACCAGTCTTAGGACTGACGACCTTAGGATGATGATGATGATGTGTACATAATAATAATTTATTGTAATAAAATTTTTGCCTCAATTGGATTTTTAAAATCTACCTATATAACTTCGCTTTAACCAAAAAAGGAATTCTTTTGAATAGTGTACTTCGTATTATGAATGGATTACTAAAGAACAATAACAGTGATTCATTGTATTTACGTGATTCATGGCTCACTTTTATTAATGAAGTGCCCTAAAAGTTGACAACGACGACACGACACTTTCAAGTACGATTTTCTTTTTTTACATCCTTCGTCAATACAACCTTCAATTTATACGTCAAAATCGGGAAAAAGCAATAAACTTAAAAACTAAATTTATTTTCCTTTTCTATCGTAAGTATTAATAAGATCACAAACAGAATATAAAAGTTATTTCTTAAAAACCATGTCCAATTTCAGCCCACGTATTTTCATAGCCGCCTACAAACATTTAAACCTAAAGCATGGTTCACGCTACACAATATCGGTTCCGAGCCGACTCTCGAACGGACATGGATTGAAATTGTACAACCCTTTCATTATAAAATAATTTTCGCTACGCCGTACCGTATTCGTGCCTTAAACGATGATCGGTAGTGCACTGCCTCTAATAATAAGTATAACAGAAAACCTATGTTATGAAAATTGACGATTAAGATTGTATAAGAGATCTGTTCAAAAAGTATCGCGAATTTTGTGTTTCTTCAAAAATTATTTATTTATTCATGAATACCTATTTTGTCCCTTTCAAATTAATCCCCACCAGATATTTTACACTTGTGCCAACATTTTTTCCAATCCTCAAAGCACTTCAAAATATCATTTTTTGTGATTTGTTCGCTCCTCCTTGGGTGCCATCTTTTCCTCCTCAATCGTAGGATAGCGTCGTCCTTTCACGGGCCTCTTCAAATTCGGGAACAAGAAAATGTCACAGGTGGCCAGATCTGAGGAATACGGTGGCTGCGGCATTATTAGTGTTGTTTTTGGCGACAAATTCGCGCATGTGCAACGATGTGTCAGCAGAGACGTTAGTATGATGCAAAAGCCAATTTTTGTTCTTCCACAAATCCGGGCGTTTCTGACGGATTGCTTTACGCAAATTGTGCATAACTTGTAGGTAATATTTCTAATTGACATTCTACCCTGTGACACCACGCCCCTACAACCGAAGAAAATTGTAAGCAAAACCTTCATATTCGACCTAACTTAGTGCGCTATTGTCGGTCTTGGCTCATGCGGCAGCTTCCATTAAGATGATTGAGCTTTAGCTTTCACGTCAGAATCATAAACCCATGATTCGACCCTCTGGAGTAAATTTGGGTGGTCGAGTCCAACAACTCATTAGTAATGTTAATGCGGTGCTGTTTTTGCTCGAAATTGAGCAATTTTAGTACGAATTTAGCGGTAACCAGTCTCATGCCCAAATCATTGGTAAAATAAACGAATGGCAGGAGCCAATCGATATATTTAGGTCCTCAGCAACCTCTCTAACGGTGCTTCGACGATTGGACAATACTATTTTCTTCACTTCATCAATGTTTTCGTCTGTTGTTGACGTGCTCGGACGTCTGACATGTTCTTCATCGTTCACATCTTCTCGGCCCTCTGAGATCACTTTATACCACCGATAAACGTTGTTTCGATCCAACGTAACTTCATCATATGCCACAGTCAACATGAGGAGTGCGCATTTAATTTTGTTTTTCATCCAAATTTGATACAGATTCTTTAATCCAATTTTTAGAATAGACAAAAATCGAAGACGAGCCATAACACGTCCAAGCAAAGCCGCTGTCAAAAATTAACTGAACATTCAGCATATCCGAACTTGTTAGTGTAAGTAAGAGACATGAATACCAACATAATGCCGCAAAAAAATTGAAAATCGAATATACGTAACCCGCAGAAATTCAAAATATTGGAATACCTACTAAATTACTTCTTATTTCGAAATAATTCTTGTGCTTGCTGTTTCTCGTGGTCAAGCCCGCAAGAACGAAGACCTGAACCACGAACCGTAGTGGTACCGCCTGGTACCTGGCTATACAGTGCCCAGCAATTCCACTATCCGGTGCATCTCTAGTCTAAACTCGCTAATACGCTGCGAACTGTCACGCACACGGCCAGACGTGAAAAGATGTAGCGTAAACCACCCTTTAATAATTCATTTCTACCACCGCCCATCTCAATCTAAATCTCAATTCTACAAAGCAAGATTTGCTAGCAATCATCCTACCAAAATCATTACGAATATTATTTTAAACATAAAAATGAATTCGTTTTATTGATAAAAGTATCATTTAAACCAAAGTGCGATATTTGTCAGGGAGTAACGTAACACATTGTTCGATTTCATTTTCCATCGTATACTGCAAACATCCGAATTATTCAATTATTACAATATATTCGTGCCTCTATTAATTGATTATTTAATCGATTACGTAAATCGATCGTATCATTGGGAGTACGAATCATTTAATAATTAAAAGATAAACTTAATAAAAGCCTTATAACGTTTACATTGATTGCTCTTTTACAAAAGGCAAAAATCGTTAAACAGACAACGAATTCCGAGTAAAGCATTTTTTTTCCCAAATGGTAAGGTCACGGTTACGTACAAAGCAAAAGTTCCCTGCTCCTCGATTTTTATAGCGCATAAAAATTTATGAGAGCGCTCGAGCATATAAACTAATGACATAAACAAATTGCGAGAGCATTTTTTACTGACCATATAGTTATTTATTACTTCAAATGTACGAGCATCATCCAGCCCTAGCCATATTTCTTATATTTTGGTTGCGAAATTAGACCCTACGACAGTTAAACATAAAACAAAAATGCGACTGCGTCTTATTACAACTCAAGATGTTGTTTT